TGCAGACTACATTGTACCAATATGTGCGAATGGTAGGTAGTCTGCTAGGGAAGCCCAAGGTACTGAGTAGGCACTCACTGTCTAGCACATACCAAAATTCCAGACTCCCAGAAGGAAAGCAGGTGTTTGGCATAAATCATATTATTTACATGAAGAGCTTAGGCACCATGAAATATCAGTCAGGGAATGGTGAGAAGTATCCTGGCATCCATATCTTTTAAAAATTGCAGTTTTTATATCCCTGTCTACCTTATTCAGTGGCTTATAGATTACATTAGAAACAAGATTCCATTTTGCCACCTAGAAAATACCATTGGATCTCTAATTACTAAACAATAAGTCATACATCAGGACATTTTAAACAAATATGACAATTAAATTTAGGTATGTATGGTAAGAAGGGTGAGGCCACATCCATCTTTAAAATATCAGGTGTTCTTAGTCATTTCCCTCTCTCTATGGCTTTCTGAAAAGTTGCATGTATACTGAAATTAGAATGTTAAATCATTTTAAATATCTAGGCAGTACTTAGAGGGTCCCGGTCCCTTTGGTTTAACAAAAAATACCATAGAAGACAGTGCACATATAATATGAATAATTAAAATGTAAGGTTTTAATTTTAATATAAATTAGTATGTTTCTTCATAGAGTGTTCCTTTTCTATTCTGCTTTCTGTGTTCTCTGTATACAAAAGTGAACCAAAGAAATATAGCCTCTTAAAAGTACATGCTTAGGGATACTACTTTTAAAACAATTTAGTCCTTTTTGTAGTAGGTATATACATCCAATGATTTTGGAGTTCCTTATTACCCATAGTCTTATACCAATTATCGCAGTGTGACTTCATATGTGTCATATCTTGGTGTAGATGGCAGCATAACAAGACCCGTCAGCTGGACTGGGACTGAGAAAGAGTCAGGAAGGTAGTTTAGACTGGAAAGGTTTGAAAAATCTCAGAACTAGCAGGGTCACAACACAGGCCAAAATGTTTCTGTGTTCAGGGGCAAGCCAGAAAGTCAGGACCAAAACCAGGAACAATAGCATTAGCTTAAAGTCTTCAAAACAGGGTCATTTAATGATGGGGAGAAAACAGAAGGTTAGAATAACTTATAAATGTTGGTATTTATGAAACTCTTTGATGTTATCTTGTAATAGTGTATCATTATCCTCTAAAGTGGTGCTATTATATCCTTTATTCAAAGATATGAAGAGATTTGGCTCAAGTCACCACAGTAAATAGCAGGGACTCAAAATCTTTTTATTTTTTAGACTGAAAATCCCATATTCTTAGATAAAAGTGTTTTTTCAACTGTGTTCCATTGATTCCTAGTATCCTGCCAAGGTATCCCAGGTGGGGTGAGAGGGATGGGATGCTCATCCTTCTTAGGCCACATTCCATCCCAGCCCCATTCCATCAGAGTAGCTTGATTTTATATATTGTGATAATAAATAAAATTCCTTTGAACCAAAGTTTTGTCACTTAAAAAATCTATTGGATTAGTAGACTGTGTTACCTTTATAGACCAGGTAGTTGAAAGCGACACCAGAGAGCAGACATCCCAAAGTGAGCACAAGGAGAAACTGTCGTCTGGTGTTTTAAAACAACGTTCTGAGCTTAGGTAGCTGCAGAATTTGATCTTCTCCCAACCTTACAGTAAGAACCACTTTGAAGTAGGCCACCAAGTGTTCCAATCAAAGAAAAGAGATGTATGATTAGACTTTATTTTACAGGGGCAGTTTAATGAAGAATTTGAATTTCTTTGAAATTCTTAAATTCCAGAAGTTATTCAAATGATAAAACCTTTATTGTAGATGAAAAACCTTTATAGAACCATTTATTAGATAGAAATCCCTTATTTTGATGGCTTTCTTAAAATATCATTTCAATGTACTGTTTTTCAAAGTGATGTAAATGGACAAAACCCAAATCATTTAACTTACAGAATCTTCTTGCTATCCAGCAACCAAGTGTGGTGTAGTGGAAATTACTGGCTTAAAACGGAAACCAGAATTCTAATCCCAACATTGTCAGTAATTATGTGACTATAGGTGGGCAAGCTTGGGTTGATAAAATGGGAGAGTTGGTCTTAAATGAATTCTAAGATCCCTTTTTGAAAAGTTTTACTTACCTTGGCTAATTCATTTCTTTTTTGAGTAAATTTTATTTATTTTCAGCTTTATTAAGGCATAATTGACATAAAATTGTAAATCCAATTCATTTCTTAAAGTAAACATTGGAATGCTGTTCTGTAGTCATAATATTAAAGCTGCAAAAATAGTAGCTAGCATTTATTTAAGGAGTTTTTATATATTTGTCTCATGTTGTACCAGGGAACTTGGAATTTCTTAACAGTAGTCTGAATACTTTACACATGGAGAACTGAGGCTCATAGAGGTTAAATAACTTGGTCAAGTTCAATAACTTGGTCAAGCTAATAAGTGGCAGAGCAAGGATAATCTTTTTGACTCTGAACCATGAAACTTTTTCTGCATTGCAAGTTTGCCTAGTAGATATAAAACCTTGAAGAAGTGAATATCTAAACCAGAGATGCAACAGCTATATTTATGATCATTAATAACTAAGAGATCATGTAACTTTTATATGCATCATAAAGCCTGGTTAACAAAGTTGTTTTTCTAGTGCATAAAATAGGGCTTTAATATACATGTTGCATATAAAATAGTCTCTGAGTTTGAGCTACAAACTGAAAAATTTTGCATATGTGCAAAACTCATTTAAAAGGAAATATTCATTTTAAAAAATAACTATTGATAAAGCAAAAAATTGCTTGTAGTAATAGTGCTGTAGATATACAGAGCTGAAAGCTTTCAAGTTCTACCAGAGTGAAATGCAGTCAGTTTGGTGCTTACCTTCCTCTGTGAAAGTTAAAAGAATTGACAGTCTTTTCTCACTTGATGGCTGACACATGTTCACTTAAGTTTCCCTGTATTCTGATAATCTTCCTAATTCTCTCATAGTTAAACAACACCTATGTAGTTAAGCTGAGGCTAGAGGCAGAGTCTGTCTATCTGAGTGACAGGGAGGAAGAATGGGGAAGGTTTCTTGTCAACAACCTACTGGACAGGGTAGAATTTAGACCAATGGACCTGTAGAGAAAGGTAAAGGGGGAAAAAAAGAAAGAAAAGACAAAAAAAGAAAAAAAAAGGTAGAGGGAATAGCAAGAGCAAAGATCAGAAAGCATGGGACTTATAGGAAACAGCTGGTTTGGCTGCAATATAGATATAGCTCTTGGATTGCAATATTAATGGTCATAATAACTAACACTTATCAAGTTCCTGCCATTCCAGGGTTCACCAGCTTCCTCATTTAAGCCTTATAACACCCCTATAAGTAAGGTAGGATGTAATCCAGATAGGTTAAATAGCTTAAACATGGTCACTCTGTTAAATGACAGAGAAGTAACTTAAACCCAAGGTTAGCTGGATCCAAGAGCCATACTTAATATGATGTCTTCTTTGCATGTAACATGCACTAAATAAATATTTGGATGAAAAATATAGTTTTGATAAGCATTCATATGCTTATTATTTCCTAAATGATGAGATAGAAGTATGGAAATACTTAAAGTAACTATTAATGTTTTACATGGAAACTTATAAAACTTTGAACTACTGTCATACTCTTAATTTGATAAAGGATTTACTGAGTTTTGAGATCTTTAAACATTTGTTCTGAATCTCAGAGGAAAGGAATATTTAAAGTTTTATGTTGAACTGTCTTTGATAGGGAACTACTGTCAGAAAAGGGGGGTTATTAGGATAAGTCTAATGGGACATTATGGTATCAAAGCTTAACACAAATTTAGCAGTTATTCTTGGAGGCATTATCTCAACAATTGCAAATGTTGGCTCTCTTTATAAACAAGTGTGTAAATTGTAGAGATCATACTTGATCTTACGGAATGACTGGAAATAACATTTTCTAACATAATGTAGGTAGTGATTTGATGTTAAATTTCCCATGAAGTTTCTACATGGATTCTACTTGGTGGAGATGTTCTCCAGAAAAAAACATAATAGGCAGCTCAAAAATGGTTTTAGCCACAATTAAATTATGAGGCCAAAGATGTACCGTCTTCATACTTCATTGAGATCTCTTAAATGTCTCATCAGAGAGATTTTCCCTGAGCATCCTATCTAAAGTAGCACCCCGCCCCTCATCACCCCAGGAACTTTATTTTGTTTACTTACAACTCCCCATCCCCTCATTTGTTAATAGGTACTCATTTATCTGTTGAAAGAATGTATAAAGAGTATGAATAAAATTATTTCAGAAATGTGAGTAGAAGGAAAGCAATATGTCTAGATTAATATACTTTATATAGTAATAATATATGCAAGTAAATGAATGTTATGTAAGTAGAATTTGTCAATTTGATTTATAGCCCTAAAAGGTATGTATCCCACTTGGGAGGAAAGGTGGCCTCATTTGGCTGACTCAATTATCATATCCAAATATGTATCCAGAAGCCTAAAAGGAATTTTACAAAAGTTTATTGCAACAGTATCTAGTCTTTCCAAATAAATAATAAATTAAGATTGTTGTATATATGGAAAGAAAAAATAAGTTTGCAAATAAGAGTCTATAATGGCCAGTTCTAATGTAAATAATGGTATACTGAGACCATAAAACTCCATCGTAGCCTACAGAATACTGAATACAGTTCATTAGGTTACTTAATTTTATTGATTTGTCTTTTTGGATATCAAGACTGAATATATCTTGGCTATATGGTCTTCATGGAAAAATACTTCAGATAACATTCTGTGCCAGTTTTTCAGTGAATCTTGTGTTTAGATCCTTCAAAGCAGGTCCGATATGCTAAAGTTAAGACAGAGAAAAACAGAATCTCATACTACTGGACACTAGCCCAACCTACCTCCTTCCCCACCCCCAGCCAGAAAAAGAACAAACAAAACATTACCCCAGAAAACAGATTTTTAAAAAATAATCCTTTTCTCCATTTCTTAAAATTTAGGAACAAGTTCCAGTTCCCGTCTATCATCCAACACCTAGCCAGACTCGCCTAGCAACTCAGCTGACTGAAGAGGAACAAATTAGGATAGCTCAAAGAATAGGCCTTATACAGCATCTGCCTAAAGGAGTTTATGACCCTGGAAGAGATGGATCAGAAAAAAAGATCCGGGAGTAAGTTTTGATAAATTTATACATGTTTCAAAGGTCTATCTCCAGGAGTTTTCTTTTGAAAAAAAAAAATTCTGCATTTTGGAAGTCAGATAATATAATCAGTTCATACAAGAAAATGTTTAGATGTAGCAATTTAAGAATTTTTCTATAAAAATAAGAAATAATGGTATGAATTCTGACCATTTTATATGTTGCTTGTATCCATTTGGATGAAAGTTGATTTCAGTTAAAAACACCACCTGTGTGAGTTGTGAGCTAGTACCAACATTGCCTTGTCAGCTAGGAAAGCAATTTGGCAATGTGTCTAGGACCTTCAGGTCTATACCCTTTGAGACAGTTAATTCTAGAGATCTATCCCAGAATATGTACCTCACTCCAACTCCTAGAGCTTAATGCGTAAAGATATTCACCATAGTTTTATTTAATAAAAAAACAACAGTAGAGGTATAATTAAATAGATTGTGGTGTAAGAATACTTTAGTAGGTTATGCAGCCATTAAAACTGTTTACTAACGGTTTTAGTGATATAAGAAAATCTTATATTCATTTCTGTGGTGTGATTTTTTTAAGCCTGGTGAGTTGAATATAAAATTTACTTCTGGGGAGTTTTTGTTTTCAGAACTCATTATTGTCCGACATTCCCCTAATGAAGACAGCCATTCTCCTTTTAGGTTGAGAATGGTCTTGCCAGTAGAGACCTAATCTAATTTACTGTGTTGATGTTTGACTCTTTGAGCCATAACACCGTTTAGTGCTAGCGGTTAAGATCATAGCCTATTTAGAACACCGACTTTTGAAACACTGCGGAATTGGGCTGCTTCTTGAACCTGTAGAAGAGTGCAGCGAACTTGAAACTGGGGTTAATGAAGAGACTTTTAGCCTACAGCATCCCAGTAAATAGGCTGAAATTAGTAGTTTTGTTTTTCTGTATAGTTATTAAAATGAAAACTATCTTATCTCTGGGCTTAACACTACAAACCCGGTTCAGATAAATAGTTTATTTGACTATTTCCTACCTAAACCATCACATTTTTCTTCAGGTGTCTTTTACATTTAGCTGTGTTATAAGCACCGTTCTAGCAATGGACTTGGTCCCTCATGTGGTCCATTTCTCTTTGCTCTAGTGATTGCTCTCAAACTCTGCAAATTCCCAGGTGACTGAAATAACAGATTGCGGATAATTTAACATTTATTAGGAAAAAATTTAAATTTGCTTTGGTGGTAGGATGACAGGCAGACAATTTTCATCTGTTCAGATTAACACTGTTTTTCTAAGGAGTAGATAGATCACTTCTCTAAAAGTGCTTTCTGATTTTCTTCTTCACCCCCAACAGGTGTGTGATCTGTATGATGGACTTTGTTTATGGGGACCCAATTCGATTTCTGCCGTGCATGCACATCTATCACCTGGACTGTATAGATGACTGGTTGATGAGATCCTTCACGTGCCCCTCCTGCATGGAGCCAGTTGATGCAGCACTGCTTTCGTCCTACGAGACTAATTGAGCCAGGGTCTCTCATCTGACTTCAAGTGAACCATCATTTTTGGTGGTTTTGATCTTTTGTCACTGAGCCCAAAGAGCCAGGGATTAGGAATTAAGATCATGCACAAAAGTTTCCTAAAAATTCCTGAATGGCTGCAGATGTTGGGGAAAAGTAGGTGATATTTTAGAAACTTACGGGGAAAAAGTAGGATGGTATTTTTATGTAAAGCCTTGACCCAGTGTTTAAAAATATAATTGTATTTAGATCTTGTTATTGCTCCAGTACATAGGAATTGTGTAAAGTGTTACAGCAGCTGTATATGTTTAAATTGTGTGTGTTGAAGATTAGGAAAAAGATAGTGATTGTTTTTCCTAAAAGAAATAACTTTCTTCTTCCCCTCACTCAAATTCTTTTCTGAAGTTGCTGGCATTTGGGTCAAGGTTTTATTAAAAGCTACATTTTATAACACTGGCACAAAAAAAAGTAGTTTTAAGCTTGTTTGCACAGTTCTTTTTTTCCATTGGAAATGGAATTCATTGCCTTAGGTCTTTTTAAATAGTGTATTATTATCGTTGGGGCTGGCTCTATGCTTGAAAACCAGTTTATTTATAACCTGTTATAAGTGCTATATCTGTTTGCAGTTAGGAAATGCAGAATTCAAAGTGATCTCCTAGCTCGTAAGCAAACTGAGATGCACTATCCCTTTTCTATTAAAAAATGAGTTAATGTGTCGAGAAACCAATTCTAGTAAAGTGGGGTTTAATATTACCCTTCCCCATGTGTTTTATCTAACTATTTTGGTTGTTAATATGGTGATAATTAAAAGTCAAGGTAAATTTTAAATAATTAAGATTTCTGATTTATTGAGCTTGAATTATGCCACGATACTTATGTAAAAATGAAAGTGGCACCATGGTGAAACTGAGAAAAGTTTCTCAGTTGTAATAATTTTGATTTACTTTTTCCTGTGACCTCCTCCCCTGTTGTCTTGAACCATAGCAAAAGGATACTGCATCTCTTATTATTGTAGTGCTGAGGTTATTGAAGTTATATAAAACACATCTCAGTTTCTGTTTCTTGGAAAGGAAGGTCTTGCTAGCTGACTGATAAGTCTAATAAGCGGGGAGAATTAAGATAATTATATTTCATGTTTTGCACACAAATCCAGAATTTGTATAACCACATGACTTCATAGTTGTGATCTCAAACAAGAAGGAATTTCTCCTTTATCTTTTTCTTGCAGTTAATGTAAGAACACTGAATCTCTAAGCTTCTGAAGTGTTAGAGGTAGAGATGGTCTAGTAAAGATGTAGTTGTAATGTTTTATCCATTTAGCATGTGTTTATTTTTCCTTATGTACTCAAAGGTGATTTATTTGTTCAGCTCAATGATATTGCAGCTAAAAAATCATTTATTAGCAAAAGGAGAACCAATTTCAACCTAACAAATCAGAAATGGTTCTTATTTTATATTGAGTTGAATATTTGACTCTAACACTTTTCTACATACGAAACACAAGTATCTTGAAGGTTCTTCATAATTGCATTATAGAGGAATTTAATATGTCATAAGTGTTTCTTAAAGCTTCGACATTTGACTGTAGTATCCATATGTTGGTTAATTTTACTATGAGCCCCATGATGGAAAGACTTAAAGACGAATTTGAGGGAAAAATGAAAGAAATTAGATTATCAGGTTCTGTTAAATTGTTACATGTATCTTGCTTAAGTTTTTGTTCATTAATTTATATCCACCCAATTACATAAAGCAAATTTGGAGGAAACACCTGAAGTTGTGCAATATTTTCAGTGATATTACTTTTTTTATCCTTGTGTTTTCTATTTAAACATGATGTCTGTGTGTCATCAAGTATTCTAGTCAGATTTTCTTTTTTTCTAGATTGTTAAATTTGGTAAATGAACTTTTTTTAAAAAAATCATTTTCTATGTTGCTGTTAGTCTTTCCTTTTTACAAGTCTTTTTTCACAGAAGTTTGGCAGTAATATTGAAGGGAATCAGTATTGAGCTGAATGCTTTTTTTTTTAGATACTTTGTATTCTTTAATTTTGATTTTCACATACCATGTTAAGAACCATCAATTTTGGCTTTTACTAAATTAAATAAAGTTATAATACAGTTGTAAAGGGCTAAAGTTAGAGTTGATTACATAACAATATTTCCCAAGTTATCTTTCTTTAAAATAGACATGTATAGATTTAATTAATTACTTTTAAATCTCTAGATGTATATATACTTTTGGGGAAGTATTTTTTATGGCTTGGCATTGAATACAGTCTAATCATAAATTTAGATGCTTAATAGCTTTAAATTTTCTTAAACCAAAAAATAAGCTCAGCATATTTAGATTTGAGCAAGATGTGTTCATGCTTGGCTATAGGATTTAAACTGTCTGAAAAGCCTGACCAGGAAAAAATAAAAGAATCTTATTCTTTTAAACATAAACCCAACAAGTTGAAATATTTTCAGATACTTCTAGTCTGGTTCACACAAACCTTTTCAATTCTAGAAGTGTTTTTTATTGAGAATCTCTTAAGCCAGGTATTATAAGACTCTCCTCTTACATTCAGTGTCTACCATGTGATCTAAAACAGTATGATTTTACAGAATATACTGAGCACTGATGTTACAAATTCTTTGTACAAACTCCTTCATAAGGAAATGTGCATTTTAAAAAAGGAAAAACAATAAAATAGTCAAGAATAGAGCTGGCTATGGTCCTGAAAACTTAAAATGGTGAAGAGTTGAAGGTAAGTGTCTTTGGCATAATTCAGAAATGTATGCAGTTTGGTGGCCTCCTTTGCTTACGAGGGCAATGGCTAGCAGTGAGTTTCTCACAGTCGACTGCATATAAGTGCATTATAACTGACGTAATAACCTCAACTAATTTTTTAAGCCTTTAATTTTGAAATTAGTGAACATGTGAAAGTTTTATTTTTGATTAGTATCTCCTGAAGTAATATTAAATTTACTCATCTGCTCTTTTACTGGGTGAGGAGAAAAGATAAGTTCTTTAGCCCTCCTTCTGTACCCTCTCTATGTAGCTCCCCTTCTCCAGTTGTACACTCAACTAGACTTCCTTAAGACACAAGCCTGGTTCAGGATGTCCCCCTCATGGGAGGCATGGGCAGGAGAGCCATCAGAGTCCTGAGCAGTCTTCTCCTCACTGATTATATTAGTTCTTTGGCATCTCAGCTGAATTCCTTCTTATTCCTACTTGATCTCAGTTTCGAAGTATTTGCCATTGAGGTCTCTGGTTTCTAACAATTTACTCACAAAGGCTATTTGATGCTCCTGCACCCTTCAGAATTGAATCAGTAATATAGGTTAGCCTGCTTGTTAAAAGTTTGGATCCACCTATTCATCTCTTTAAATACATTCCCCCCACCCCCACCCCCCTTATGAAGATATACTCAGAATCTTGGTGCTTAATAAATGTTTGTTAAAAAAGTAAAAAATGTGCAACTACAAAATTACCATCGTTGCACTGAATATAATTCCTGATTGACTACCTGTTGAGATTTTTCTGAGAGCTATAAAAAATGATCTCTGAAAGAGTTTTTTCTCAGTTCCATATATGTCAAAATATGTATTTGTCTATGATCAGGCAGCAATTTAATGCTCACAATTCAGATTTAGACAGGGCTTTAGTTTGTGATAATTTAAGTGAAACATAAGGGTTTAACAGTGATTAAATGATTGTATCATGTAAACATAAAATGTTTAAAAGTGGTTTAAAAGCCACTTAGAAAAAGATACAGTAAGTTAATTTTATGTATTTAAGGAAAGTTTACAGGACTATTTGTTAGGTCTGCACATGAAGTATTTTTGACTAGAGAAAAGTAACCTCCATCTTTTCTTAAAAGCTCCTAAGAGTTCTACCACATTAAGGTTTATATTAGAACACTGTATAGAAGTTAGTAAATGAATGAGGCACATATATTTGGTGAATATTAATTTAAATATACTTCATAATTCTTTTCTGAGAGCTTCTGAGTCTAAAAACATCCCACAAAAAATTATTAGTCAACTTAATTTTAACCAGTCCTTTTTAAAACCATACAAGGGGTATTTTAAAAAATAACAGCAGTACTCGTCGCTTGTGGATTAGTAAGAGTTTGACAGTCCAGATGCAAGTATCCAGATTTTGCTTTTCCATTTGTCCTTTGGCTGTTTCCAGATTTTAAAGGAACTTTAGGAGGAATACTGACTTTCCTTTACATTTTTCTTGAGAAAAGTTACTGTCCACTGGAAGATTTAATCATCTTTGGATGCTTTCCACAGAAAGTTTTGTTTTTTCTCTGCATGTGAATGAGAAACCAGCATTATGAATAAGATAGACATTTTAGGCATCTAAGACTGATTATGTTCAAAGGAGCAGCAGCACCTGTTTCCTTTGAACCCCTTCTGTAACACTGCTTGTGGGCTCCAGATTTCTTGGCACTGAGAAAAAGAAGTTGAAAAAGGTAATTGAGGGTTTGCCTCAAGAGTCTGGTCATAGTGGCAAACTGAATGCTTACAAGAAGATTTGGTTGGCTCTGTAAAAGTGATGAGCCCAGCTGTTCTCTGGGGGCCACAGTCATTTAGGATCCAAAAGCAGATCTTAGGCATTGTGTGAATTGAGAAAACCTGGACTTTGCTATGAGAAAGACATTAAGATTGGCTTCCAGCACTACCCATACTAGAGGTGTGAGAATGGAATAGGCTCATTCTGCCAATTCCAGAATCGGAGCCAATCCTTGAGCTTTGAAATAATGCAGAATCATGACCTTCTGTCTACGAGGGTAGCTGAACTCAGCAGATAGACTGTAAATTAATAACTACAATTTCGGAGTATGTAGTGTGTGGGGAAGAGAAGTTCTTCACAAACCATTTGTCCTCATGGTCCTTACGCTGATAATCACTATGATGTTAATTTGACATGAATATGAATATAAACATTCATTCTGGTAGTGAGACAGGTACTATCTAGTAGAACCATTTTCAGATGGTTCATTATTTCAAGTACTGTTCTCAGGACTATTAAATTTTGAGTAAATGGCTTTGAAGATATCTTTGAAATAAGAAATCATGTTTATGGGTATGGGTTTGCTAAACTGGGCTTCTGATTTCCTGTGACAAGGAAAGAACACAAAATGCCGACTCATGTTGACTCTAGGTGCCTATGACCTAACATACCGAAAGAATTTTTTCCCCTAGTTGCTGAAGGGAAAATGTATTTTTATCAGCAATTTTACACAACGCAGAACCAAGAGGTGCTAGAGTTTTTGGCGTGGCACCAGCATCCTAAATTCCATGTTTAACCTATATAATCCATTCTTCACATAGCAGCTAAAATAATTTTTAGTAAATTCAATGTCATTTCCCTGCTTAGAACTTTTATAGCTTCCCACCGTGCTGAGAGTAAAATCCAAACTCCTTAACTGAGATAGCTGGTTTTCTGCCTCTCTCCTTTCATAGTACTCTGCCTTCTGGCCTGATAGGCTTGCTTTTTGTGCCTTCTAAAATGGCAAGCTTTTTCCTGTCTTGGGTCTTTTGGAATTATAGTTTCTGCCCTAGAGTTCGTTTTCCCAGATTTTTCGGATGGCTGGCTGCTTATCCTCTGGACCGAACATATCCCCTGTTTGTTTACTCCACAGCTCTAATTCTTTGTTTACTTGTATGTCTTCTTTATCAAACTAAGCTCCATGGAAGCAGGGTGCTCTCTGCATGGGTGCTCAACAGTTATTAATCAAAGGGAAGGATAAAATGAGGAAAAAGGCCCTCAGCAATCTAGGCAATTCTGTTAGGGGACCACCATCAAGGAAGTTTCCCGTGGAAAATAGAGATCTTATATAGCAAATTTTTGAGGGTGTCGGGGAAAAGGGCGAAGGCAAAGGTCTAAGCAAGCAACTTTCTGGTAAGCCTTTTCACTAACCAGTACCACAGATGATACCCACTGTTGTCCTTCCCTTCACCTGGGAATGTGGCAGGCCATAGTTCCTATATGTCAACTTTGAAAGAAAAAAATGTATAGTGGATACATGTTTTTGTCTTTCAAGTACCCCATGTTCTTTTTTTAGTAATAACTCCCAACTGAGTATATGACACAAGTTGGATCATTTACAGTATTTATGTCCCTTTCTAAGGCAGTGGTTCTCAGACTTTAGTGTGCATTAGATCCAACTGGAGAGCTGCTTAAAATTCAGATTACTCGGCCTCACTCCTATAGTCTTGAGTGGGTCCGATGATTTGCGTTTCTAACAAATTCCCTGACAATATAATGCTGATCTAGGAGGGAACCACTGGATAGACATTTGAGCCAAGCCAGACTAATCAGAATATCTGGGATTTTTCACATTGGAGACAGGAAAAGAAACCTTTTTTTTTCTGGTCACAAAGCTGTAAGGATGTGGGATCTGAACTGCCATGTACCCCTGCCATGCAGAGAAGCCAGTTTAAGAGAATCTAACAGGAGCATAGCCAAGAGATGGAGAAGCACCAGAGCCCTTGATTCAGTCATCCTGTAGACCAAACCCACCACTGCCTTCCTATAGTCTATGTGAGCCGATAAATTTACCACCTTAATATATTAGGGGCTGTGCTATTTTTTTTACATAATTTCTTTTTATCTTCAGCAAACCTGTGAAGCAGTTGGCATTAGCCCCATTTTACAGTAGTGTAAACTGATTCTCGGAGTAGTGAAGTAATTCCAACCAAATTTGAATCTAGTCTCTGCTTTTTTCCATTTCCCCATGTAATTAATAGAACTTAAAGTTGGTATTTTTAGTAGATCAGGCTTTTCTCACTAGGAATTTGCTCACAACCTCTTTTCCATAGTTATCTGAAAGCTGTAGTCCAGGGGTGACAAATTTCTGGCCCATGGACTACTTTGACCCACAGATGTGAAATGTTCGGCTAGTCAGCCAAAACTTAAAAAATTCTTTCAGTGCCTTTAGCATCATGTGCTTCTCAGTTTTCCAGTGTTTCCCACCTCTTATTTTTTTATACCAAACCTACACTAGCATATGGTTTGCTATCCCTCAAGCCTCAGTCTAGGCCTGAGCTTCTGCATCTGTTCAGGCTTCACTTCCCATCTCTACAGTAGCTGACTGAAAGTCTACCTATCCAACTGGGGATTAGATCATGCCTTTTCCTTCAACATCCCTTGATTTTATGAGCAAATGCTGTTGCTTAAGGTTTGCCTTTTTTCGTTTGCCTTTGTTCAAGTTAAGACCCTATCTCTACCTCATGATGCCAAGTGGCCTGGAGAAACTATGCCACACGGACATGTATATGCTCTGTGTGTTCTAAGGCAGGATTTTTAATGTTTGAGTTATTAGCCAGTAACTTTTCATTCTTAACGATGGCCCAAGAGTCAATAAAAGTCAGGTCCAACTATAAATTGATAATTTTATAGCTCAACTAGCAGTTTAGCAAACATGGGCTTTTTGAGTTCAACTTCCTGGCTTCAAATCTTTCTGCTGCATTAATAGCTATGTGATCTTAGGCAGGTTACTTAACCTATGTCTCAGTTTTCTCATCTATAAAATGGCAATACTAGTTCCTACTTCAGATGGTTATGAAGCTTAGAAACATGTAAAGTGCTTAGAATGGCAACTAGTAAATAGCGAGCACTTGATATTAGCTATTTTCTTCTACCCAAAGTATCTAGTGTCTGGTGTTCTTAAGTATTTGTTAATGGTATGAAGAGCAACAAAGCAACCCAGTCTAGTCATTTGTGGTATGTTAGCTGTGAGGTGTCTGATTAAACTTGCATGTCAACTTTTAGAAGTCTGTATCAACCTTCAGTAATTGTATGTCTTGCCAAAGGAAGGGCTCTATTACATTTTTGTCACTTAACAGTTGACTTTATACAGTGGAAGCAATTCATAGATCACTAATTTAGAAATGAATTTTTCAAGCCCCCAAATGAGACTCCTCGTTTGTGGACTTAACCTGTTGGGCAGTAATGAACTTTGCACCAGATTTCACAGGAGCTGTGCTAACCCAAGCAGAAAGGCACTTTCCAACATTGGAAAGCTGCATCTAGGGGCAGGGGTGAGAAGTTTCCATTTTGCTGCTTGATTTTCAGAATCCATGCACGTCTCATTTATCATTAAATTAGTGTGATGGTGCTAAGGACATAAGAAAACAGTTGTTGAAAAGGCACACTGTTAGACTTTAAACATGAAGCAAACAAGAAGACTTGTTCCTATCCCATCACCTTAGAATAAATGAACTTGGGAATATATCCAGATAAAGGTGTCTTTTAGATCTTATTCCTTCATTGCATGATTCCGGCACTCAGCAGGCTAGGGCTTTCTGAAAATCTAGTTCCATTCTTCAGTTGCTGGGACTCTCCCACCTGGACCTCAGCTGAGTCTGGGGTGGCGCTGGTCTTTTAGGGTCCTGGCTTTGCTGTCAGGTCATGGCTTTTTGCTGTGAATGACGATAGCTCTCTTGAAAACACTCCCATTCTGACTTGAGAGATAAGGAATAGGGAATCCTGCCAACACATGGGAGAGCTGATAGGAACCAGCACACTGCTGGAAGACACCCTGCCAGCCCAAGGGCCTGTGACCAGTGAGAGGCAGAGGTAGACTTTCGGTTATCAAAGGCTTGTTCAGATCATGTTACCCAGTTGCTACTTCCTAACAACTGAGTTCCTCTGTGTGGCATAAGGTTTAGAGTTTTGCCCAAATGAGGATTAGTTGCTCTCTGGGTATCCTGGGCTGCCACTGAGGCCCCTGACTGAGGAAACCTATCATTTATAGTGTAGTACATTGGGGACACAAGGCTTTAGCAAAAGGTAGGGAGATATCTGTTGCCTCATTTTGGAGATGAAAACCTAGCAACAGACTTGACCAGAGTTAGAACTGTTGACAACAGGAAAGAGCCAAATTAATTTTTAGAGGGTCTATGGCTTTCCCAAGGTTACCTTGAAAATCAGTAGGAAACAGGGACTAGAATTCAAGTCTCCTTATTTCTAGGTCAAAACACTCTACCTGATCAGCTGCCTCTCCAGGGCAGATATACTGGAAAGGTCTGCACCATTAGAGAAGTTAACCAGAAATGTCTCAAAGAGGACACAATGAGAAGCCCATGATAGAATTTTCAGCTTCGAAGTCCTCTGCACAAGGATATGGTGGCGTTAGACACCCAATGTGTTCACCCTCCTTCACATACATGCGTTTCATAGATTATCTCAAGCTGCAAGTGAGATAAAGGAGACAAAGCCCACTGATTTATCAGTCAGACTGCAGTCAGGTCAGCAGACAGGTAAAGATGGCATAGGCTAATTAATGAAACCCAACAGGAAATCGGCAACAAACACGAGGAAAAGATCTTGGCATCAATTTTAAAAATATAAGCAAAAGCACCTAAAATGAATGTTGAGATAAAAGTTTTATATATATACACATACGTGTGTGTGTGTGTGTGTGTGTGTGTGTGTGTGTGTGTGTGTGTGTGTGTGTGTGTGTGTGTGTGTGTGTGTGTGTGTGTGTGTGTGTGTGTGTGTGTGTGTGTGTGTGTGTGTGTGTGTGTGTGTGTGTGTGTGTGTGTGTGTGTGTGTGTGTGTGTGTGTGTGTGTGTATTGCTATTTTGCAAATTATATATTTGGTTTCCTATAACCGGTGCTGCTTTTAGACAGCAATAGATAGAGCTCTAATATGTAGGGGAGCCACAAAAGGCCATCCTCAGTCAGTAGCCTGGCTCTAGTTACCCTCTCACCCTGCCCTGCCCAACAACCTAGAAACAGGCTGGTCTCCCAGCATCCAGGCTTCAGAGGAGATACAACTTGCAAAGGGCTTGCTCTGTGGAGAGCATTCTTGTGTCTAGTTATAACAAAATGAGAAATTTTTTTCCATAGCATTATCCCTGACAGTACTAAGTGCAAAAGAGGATCTTGGATGAGGGTTTTCTGCCTTGCTTTGTTTCCCTAAGGAGAATATATACCTAAAACCCATGGCTTCATTCAGTATCAGTCATAGGAGGCTGGTTGACTGTAGTTAATAGATTAACCCACCCAGCCACTGGCAAATGCTCAGAAGTGTTTGCTAAATACAGCATGGGAGAGTTGTGGTTCTTTACAGAAATTGCATTCATGTGTTTGAGGAGTCAGTCACATTTTCACAGATAAATATTTTTATGGTGTATGTGATTTTTCCTCTAGGGACATGGTTAAAGTACTCTGTCATTAAATTGTGAATGGTAAATCTTGGTTTAACTTGAGTTCTCACTTTAACATTCCCAGAGGTTGCAAATGCAGATGCTTTGAGGGTCCAGAAAGGTAATGTGTTTAAAGTAGCCTGTACTCAGCTCCAACTGATAGTCACCTTAAGGGCCAGTGTTGCCAAATCTCATTTTTTAATGAGGCCAGAAATTAGATTTATTGCTGAACTCTCTTACTAACATTTTTAAATGTTAGAAACTATCATGTTGTCTAAATAAAACATTCCTGGGCCATATGGCTTCTGATCCAAACTTTCTGCCCTGCCTAAGAATTCAAGCCACATATTTTACTGAAATAGATGTTTTATGATCTCTTTTAAGTGTATTAGTTTTATTACTTAAATATCTATTTTCTCTTAACTGAAAAATTTAAAACATATACAAAAGGCCAGGAATAACCATGCTAAGAAAAATGCTGTCGGTAAATAAATGTACCTCGAAGTGAAGTACAGATTTCATAAATTATTCCTAGTGGTTTCAGTCTGATGTACAGAGAGGATGCAGATTGGTGTCTGGGAACCGCCCTCTCCCTCCCCACCTACCCCCCGCACCAATAATCTTGGCACAGAGAGGGCCACACAGCTCCCCTTCTGTCAGCATCTCCATTCCTTACTGATGAATTTTTTTCTACAGATGGACTCAAATGTAGAAAATGATCTCACTAAAAAGACATGTTTGATTTTTTTAAATTGGAAAGGTACAAAGAGAGTGAAAATAAAGCGTAAGAAGGAAGATAATGGGTGTCTGTGTGCAAGCCCCATGCACAACCCCCTGAAGCCTCAAAGCCTGAGATACAGACCCTCCTGAGGGTCCTTCTAGCCCCAGAAGCTGAGACCTTGCTGAAGTTTGAAAAGCAGTTTGGCTTTTGGCGTCATATAGATGTACCCCAGATCAGTACGCAGTACGGGTTAACACAAAGATGTACAGGTGGTCGGTTGGTGTTTTCTTAAAAAGCCAACTATGATCCCATCATTATATTTCTAAGGAAAATGTAAACTCTTCATACATTCTCTTAAACATCACAGTGAAAAACAAGGACCCGTATGTGTGATAGGGCAGGCAGAAGGCTCCACCTGCTCTGTCATTGGCAGAGGCCTTTGGCCACACTGGTGAAAATGCCGGCTTTGCTTCTGCACGGATACCCATGTCATGCCGTCCCACTGGAGCACCGGTGGGCCCCAAAGGCAGGGCAGGGCAGGGCAGGGGGAAGGGATCATTTTGAAATGTTTCCAGGAGCTCTGTCCAGCTGTCTCTGCCTTCCAGCTCAGGAGCGCTGCACAAAACTACAAGGACACTGACGAGACCATGGATCTGCTGCCATTCTCTAGAGAAGACTTGGCTTGGAGTGTAGCTGCCTGGATTCGAAAGTGTGTCCTTGACTCCATGGAGTAATTCTTGTAGTTTTGCCTGGAAGAAACGAGAGAATCAGACGCATGAGACTGCTCCAGCAAGTGCCTTTCCTTCGGTCAGAGCTGTGGGAGCCCATCAGCCAAGGAAGATTGGTAGAAGCTTAAATCTCCATTTCTGTTTAAAGAAGGAGTTGGGCTCTGGCCAGTAGGGAATAGCAGAAAGGCTGTGTAGCCCCTCACCCAGATACCATGCCTTCTTGGTCCTATTGGGTCCCAAGGCTTGAGGGAGTAGTTTCAAGAGGTAGATCCATGGGCTGGAGGGCAGGAGACCCGGGTCTTCACACAGCCCTGTGGCCGGCTTGTGTGTGACCCTGCGTAACTCACTCCCCACTTCTGGGATGCCAATTCCTATTAGTAAATTGAAGAGGAAGCTTCCCT